CTACGCCGATCTCACGGTCATGAGTTCAAGCCCCAGGTTGGGTGTGGAGCCTACTTAATTAAAAAAAAAAAAAAAAAAAAGAAAAAGAAAGAAAAGAACATGGGTCCCGGACCTCTCGTCGCTCCCTCCGACCCTTCTGTCAGCACATGTTCCCGCTCACAGACCTCACCCAAGCCAAGCAGGGAGCCTGCCCTTGAGTTAGGCTCACACAGAGACACCTTTCTGGATCTTCCCAGAAACTCAGGAGCCACATGGACCTCTCCATCCTCAGTTCTCCGTTCGTGTGGCTGTGGGGTCACTGAGGCCCCAGAGAGGTTACGTGACCTGCTTGGTGTCACAGAGCACAGCTGAGTGTTAGTCCCCAAGTGTCGCGTCAGAAGTTCAGGGGTGAACTTTCCTCTCTGAAAGATGCCCTCATCCCTGCTCCTTCCCAGTGAAGTGAGTGGACTCAGAAGCCCCTTCCCCAGTATCCCGCCCTCCGAGGTGTGGGCTGGGCAGGATTGATGCCTGAGCCACATATCCCTTTACACCATGGAATGATGTCTTCTGTCCCACCTGCAAACCCAGGACCTGGCCCAAAGCACTGTGCTGGAGGAGACTCGCCCTTCTTGCCTCTGACCCACACCGCAGTGCTCTGAGAACCCTCCCGAAGCTCTCCATCAGACTGACGCTCTCCCTCCCTGGACCTCCCAACCCCGGCCCCCACTGCAGTGTTTATCTCTGCCTGCTGTGTTTCAGACGCGTGTGTGTGTGAGTGCGAGTGCACACGTGTGTAAGGGTGTGCGCACGACGGTGTGTGAGAGTGTATCCACGTATGTGAGCGTGCGTGCGTGCACGTCCGTGCGTGAGTGTGCGCGCACGTGCGTCCCCAGTAGTCTGAGCTCCATCAGGGCATGGACCATGTCTTTCTTACTGCTCTAAACTGTGCTTCTTGAATTTAGCAGAGCCAAAGTGGGGTTGGTTTGGAGGCCACACACCTGCGCCTCGGGCCGCTAAACTATGACGAGAGCTCTGAGACCCAAAGAAGGAGAGGGATGGGACCTGTCCTCAGGCCCTTTCTCCTAAGCAGCCATGTTGCACCTGTCAGCTCTACCCATCCTCGGCCTGAC